TGGACAGTGGAGTATGCCACACCATATCATGCAACTAAATTGTATGAAAGCTACAAAGTGGGTTATGGTATAATATCATTACAGGCAAAAAAGGTGAAACACTTGGTGGTTAAGATGACTTGGATTGACAAACAGATCCAATACAACGACTGAAAGGGGAAATGGTGGCAAGTAATGTGAGCTAATTTTGTAAGAGCATTTTATTCGCCAGAACATCAACCAATGCCAAGTTTTTCTACTTCTCATTTTAAGTCTCATTTAAGGCTTCCTTCTCACTTACATTCAAGCAACCCTTGCAATTGTGGAAAAGAAAAGGAAATTAATGATTGTATATGTGAGGTATGAGTCGATGCCAGGGTGACTCCAGTGTGCAGAGGGATAGAAACTAATACCTGAAGTAATTTCATCATTAAAACCAGTATTATGCTCTGTATGTGATGAGAGATTTCCTGATACTGTAACATACAAGGCTTATAAAAGTGTTCACTTAAATGCAGAAAGCAGCCTGGTGGTCCAGTTACAAATAGCTGTAATCTTAACCCTAAAAATATGAAAGTGACCTAAAAATGGAGCTGCAAAGTAGGCAATTAAGCACTAGTGGAAACAAATATGTTCTTATTAGACGCCTTGAGGGTGCATTAGCTAGTGAGACTGTAAAATAGGACTGTTCACTGTCAATGTATCACCAGAAAGCTCCATAGTCATATTTGATAACCATGTATGAAGTTTACATAAGTTTATTTGTTAACCAGGTAAATTTAAACTGTATTGTCATTTAAGATCATTTATTGTCTTCTAGAAAATTTCAACATGAGACTATGTTGATACAGAAGTGTAACTAACATATATTTGAAAAAAAGCTACAAACTCGTGTCTCTTTGATCAACACTTTACAATATTTATTAATATCAACTTATTTATTCATGAGACTTTGTAAGCTTTTAACGAATACAAAATCCTCAGCCGTGTACCGTTGAATATAAAATGTCACCATAGCCCTCTGATTTTTGAGGTTGTATTCAACAACAAAAGGAGTGTCTTCAGATACAACTATGGCTGACCTGCCTTTGTAAACGGACGATGGCTTTGCCTTTGATTTCGGTTGTTGACTGAAATATCTTTTTCTAAGAACATCCTGGCCTTCGAATCTAGCCGGTGAAAATATATTCTCCACTGCTTGTATACAAGATAGTGTCGAGGTGATTTTTTATTTTCTTTCATTAAATTTCACTTTTCCACTATGGCCCTTTAACAAAACTGTTATGTGACGAAATATCTGCCACGGAATGAATATGACAACTAGGCTTACAATTGATGCTGCTTTTGGGCGACTTAGTTTAGATGCAATCTGCTCTCCAATTTCTAAAAGGTAGCCATCCACCGGTGGACCACAAAGCAAAGTTTGTTGCCGCAAACCTCTTCCAGTCCGCTATTCATTCTCCCCATACCATAGTTTGGTCGTCTTTTAGCCCACCTGACCACCTCTATCTACTCCCGCTCAAGAGAAGACTTCAGCTCCAGTTCACTTGTGTTAAAAATGTCTTTCCCCTCTCTGAAAAATGTGTTTGGCCACTTAGATCGAACACGACTTTATCCAAATTCGCTGCCATCTTGATTTACGTTGGAATAGTCATGGCAATTACCGCAGACATATGCGCGCCTGCGCTTCTGGGAGGAAAAAAAAAAACCTAGCAACGAACCGCCGTGAAATGATATTTGCTAAGTTTTGGGTTGCTTTGTTTACTAAGCTGTCTTAAAAACAAATCGGTGGGTGAATTGTATGTGAATTGGGGATCATTGAAGGAAAAACCTTTTCCTATCATAAACCTTTCATTAACCAGTGAAGAACGGAGTGCGGTCCACATCTCCGCTAAAAGATTATTTGTCGGGGAATATTAGTTACGAATTAGGCATTGATTAAATGTCCAAGTAAATATCAATTATCACGGAATTGTAAATGATTGCACTAGAGAGTTGACAGATTTCATAATATTGTAAACAAAGTCCGCAGTTGATTTACTGTAAGAGAGATGCAGTAATTGCTCGCGT